TTCCTTGGGTCTCCATCTCCTCATTTGAAATTATCTCCTAAAGGGCCATTCAGCTCATAAAGTTTGTGCATGAGTAACCTTAATTATTGAAGAAAACATATAATTTGGTTATGTAAAAAAGACAAGAATGTATCCCTTTCACTTTTGATTGCCATAGGATATATTCCCTTTTTAATTGACAGAAAGTAGAGAAGGTAAAAAGGAAGTTTAGAATCACAAGGGAAATACAACATGCATATCTCAAAATACAACATTTCAAACTGTGAGAATAAAAGCACATTTGAAAGGCAGAAAGGCCTTTGAATAAGAGAAAACAAATGGGTTTTGTCTTTAACCAAGGGAGTGAAATATAGTTCTTTAAAAATCTGTTATCTATTTTCATTACTTAGTGACTTAATGATACAGGGCATTTTATTATTTTGAACTCCAAACAAATATTACAACACAAAATTCCATTCTGAGAATATAAAAAGCTAAAAAGGGCTTCTATAAAGTGAAATGGCCTCTCCTAGTAATTGTAGGGCCTGTTTTCAAAATTCATGAGAAGAGTGATTGTAGGACTGTGGGTGATGATTCCCCTTGATGAGCTGGGTACCCCTGAAGGAGGGCTCAAAAAGCACCTGGGGAAAGGGGCTTAGTTTATGATCTGATTGAGGGGATCTTTAATGAGTTCTTTTCACTGAAGGAAGAGGCATGACCTTCCCTAATCCCCAGCCCCTGAGGCAGTGCTGCAATACTTAGATTCCACACTAAAGTTTAAAAATCATTGGCTACAGGGCAGGCTTCTATGGTCAAAGACAGAACATCCTTCTTAGCAAAAAATGTTGGTGACCCTATGCCAATCCTCAAATCTTCTCTTGGTTATTTTCAATAAACATGGAATGCAAAGGTATGGGGGGCACTGAATGTATGGATATACGTTTGGACAAATTGAGCATAGCAAAGAAATAATTGGGGACTTAAAAGGGGAGGAGGAATATATGGTTTGTAAGATGCTCAAGAAATGTATGTTAGTACTGCTGATGCTCTAGAGCTCATACCTTCTTAAGAATTGAGGTGGGGAAACAGGAAGGACCTCCAAGAGATTGGGTTCCTCCTTGTCTTCCCTTCTTCCCTGACATCTCCCCCCTCACCCATTCATCCACTGATTCAGCCATATTTATTTGATCAATACTAAGGGTCAGAAACTAAGCGAGGCACCAGGAGAAGAGCAAAGGGCAGCATTCTTTCCATTCAGTTTACAGGGTTACTTTTTTAAGGAAAAAAGTGACATTAACAAAAAAGTATAGAGAAACAATGCCAGGAAAACTACTGTACTATCAGTATCTTCAGCTAGTCTAAAGTTTTAGAAAAAGCTTTCATGGGAAACTGACATATAAGCTCAGAATTAAAAGATAAGGAGAAAAGAAAAAAGGTGAGCAGGTGGCATATGTTGGGGGCCACACTCCAGACAAAAGGAACAACATATAAAAACCTGTAAAGTGAGAAAAGTCAATGAAGGCCACAAATACAATGGTATTAAGATTTCTCCCAGGTTTATAACTTTTCTACTAGATGTTGTATTATTACCCTATCTCTTCTCACTGTTTTGTTTTTTCAAGAAAATACTTCAGGGGGTTGACTTTGTTTAGAGATGGCAAGGTAGAGAAAAACTGGAATTAACTTTTATTTGATAGCGGGATGGGTATGCAAAGGAAACTGAGGGAAGGATTGTAGTTGGCAGTGATTGAGACAGAGGGCCAAATAACTGACAAAATGAGGAGAAGACTGGAATTTTTTTTGTAACTACATGCAACCCCTCCCTCCAAAATAATGGATTTAAAAGGAAAGGAATACTGAAATAATTATCCATTTTGGGGGTGACAACTAGATTTCATCTCACATGCCAACTCCCTTCCTCTGGAAGGAGGTTGCTTGGAGCTGACTGGAGGAGGATTCTGAGACCTGAGGTTAGCAGGAAGGAGTGCTGTGACCACACGGCCAACGGGAACAAGGCAGCAAGCATGTGCGTTTGCTGGTCTGATCCACATCAGCAGAGGGCTCTGATATGAACGGAGAATAAATAACGTCTAGGCTGGAAGTGCCAGTGGCTGTGAGTTTTCTCTACCATTTGCTCACTTAAAGAACTCTACTGATATAAAGTACTACCCTATGAAGTTGGAATGAAATTGGAAGGAGGAAGAGACAGGGACAAAAATTCTAGTGCTGGCTATCCCAGGGAAAACTTCTGAGCCTTGGATTTTTCACCTACAAAACATCCTAAACATAATAATATATTACTGATTCTAGATTTGATCATCACTGGGTTATTTGACTACAAATACAACATTTCCTAGATCAGTGGATGTAAACCATGGCAGAGACTGGTCAACGTCTTCGGTACACGTGCTCCTCTCCTTTTGTAATGGTAAAACTTTCCCCTGTGCCAATGGGGCTGTGACAGACACACGCATGGCCCCCTTGCTGGGACTACATGTCCCACCCCCCTTCACTCAGCTGTGGCCACAACATTCTAGCCAGTGAAACGTATGCAACTTCTGCGTCCTTTACATCAAAGGAAACTATTTTTCCCATTACTTTCCCACTTTTTTTCCCTATGGCTTAATATGTGAACAGGGCACTGATGAACCGACTTTGACTAAATAGATGAATGTAAATAACGAAGGGGGTGATATTAGAGCAACAAATGAAAGGAGGCTGGGTACCAGACGTTCCCACGAGCACAGCTTCCTACCTCACCTGGATTGTCTACTTAGTTCTGGACTGGAATGGGAGACAAAAATAAACTTCTCTCTTATTTGAGCTATTATAATTTGGGATATCTTTAGTGCTATAGCTTAGCCAAGACCTAAATAATATGTACATGCAAGAGTCCACCAGGAAGTCATTATAAATCAATACATCATTTAGATGAGGATCAGTTCAAACTTGAACAAATGAATATATATCGTATATATATTCACTTATATAAATATATATACATATATGACCATATTCATTTATACACAGATATACACACAAACACACACATATAAATACTATATAAAGTGAGCAACCCCATGCCCCCAGCTAATTGCTACTATATAAGAATGGAAGGCCAGGTTTTCAAATTCTACTAATTTATTGAGGAATATGGGTTCTCAAATGCAATCTTCAAATTTTGTAAAATCTTGGCAACTTATTCAAAATTAAAAAGAAAAAGTACAGGTTAAACGAAAATGCTTCTCTATATGATTGAAGCTAAAGACTGCCCGTGTGTGACCCATCCTAGATCACAGGATTGCATGAACATAAAATGCACAAATACACCATCATCTTCATAATGCTTTTTTTAAAACAAAGAAAGCAACTTTAGCACCTTAAATGTGCACATTGACTGCCAGATATACCTTGGTGCAAGAAATGTGCACAAATATTATCCTAGGATTGGAAAAATTTGCTATAAGGATGCCATCCCAAATATGAAAAGCAACACAGTTGGTGATGATGAAAATGTAAGATAATGAGCCAAAATTCCTCTTTCAAATCTGTAACAGGAAGCAGCTGGACAGTTCTTAAAGCCAATAGCTGTGCCCTACCGTACAGTAACCAGATTGTACTGAACTTGAATATCCCATGCCCATTTGATTATCTGGGCTATTAAGTGTGGTCTCTGATAATATTTAATATGTCTTTTTCTTCATTGCGGTGTTATGTAGTCACTCAAAAAGAAACGTTATAGCTTGGTTATCTGACCCTCCAAACCTCATGCTGAAATCAGACGGGCAAGGGGCCTACAGGGCGGTGTTGGGGTTATGGAGGCGGAACCTCATGAATGACCTGGTGTCCTCCCTGTGGTAATGAACGCGTTCTCTCTTGGCTAGTTCTCCTGAGAGCTGGTTGTTACAAAAGAGCGTGGCATCCATCCTTCCTTCCTCTCTAGTCCTGTGAAATTTGCACAGCTGGCTCCCTTTCACCATCCACCATGAGTAGAGGCAACCTGAGGCCCTCCCCAGATGCAGATGCTGGAGCCAGGTTTCTTGGACAGCCAGCCAAGCCTGCATGCACCTCTTTTCCTTATTACTTACTCAGCCTTGGGTATTCCTTTATGGCAATGACAATGAACTAAGACAGATACAGTGAATTTATTCCACGTTAGTTGAATGTAATAAAGCAAAATAAATGCTAATTATAAAATATATTTAGCTGATCATTTTAAGTCAGGAGTAACTGCAGTCACACCAGCACACTGTGATTCACTAGGATCACCAAACGGAAACCTGACTGACTTCTGACGCACAAAATTACCGTGAGAAACTTTTGTGGGACTAAAAACTTCTCCCCAATATCTAATCATGCATAACATTACTAGTTTTGTCTCTGGTTATTTCTTACTTCAGTTTGAAGCACATGTGAATGTCAGCCTTGGGGAGAAGTTTGTGAGACGATAAGAAAGAATTCCAGTATATCCAAATGTGCAGTATGAGATGGGGGTCAATGAGATGTCCACTGGCTGACCATTGCTAGGGTCAGAAGGTAGCAGCAAAGGTTTGTCTGAGCCCAATGATCCTACCTACACAGTCATCTGACAGCCAAATCTGAATGTTCCAGAAGGATACTGCACACACTATGTCTCTAACTGGCCCACTCCCGGGTCCCCATTATCCTAGAGCATGATAAATCCGTTTATTTTTTAAAATGATCCAATTTCAGGTAGATTAAAACATTTAAAATTAACTTTTAAAAATGGGTTATATGATTTGTATCTTCATACAAATAAGAAATTACAAGTTTTCTTGTTTTTTAATAATACCTTAATTCATTCTATACAGAATATTCATTCTATCAAAGGTAGCTCATTCTTATGCATGACTTTTAAGTGTCTATCCTGAGTGAATAACATAAGAGGTTAAGTTTAAATTTGGCTGCAGTCTTAAGGTTTATACCAGATGATCCTACAATTTGGTCTTATCTATTTCTTTTCTTTTCTTTCTTTCCTTCTTTTTTTTTTTTTTAATTACCTCAGTGTAAATCCCTGTGCATTCATAGTAGTCTCTGGAAGGGAGGCCAAGTCGAGGTTGGTCAAACTATAAAAAAAAAAATACATAAAAGAAAATAAATCATTCAGCTGATATAGAACAGGGTGAAAAAATGCGAGCCTGCCTATCTGTGTATGCACAGGATGGATTCTGGTCTTGCTGTTTGTAAGGGTAACAATCGGACACTGAGTAAATACATAACTAGGAAATGGTTTCACACTATCTGTACGTGGCAAACTGACCAGCGGTAGATAATCTGGAGTACTGTGCTGCAGGTACATAAGGGAAACTGGAGACAACAAACGAAAAATGTAGGATTTTTAATGCAGAGCAGAAGGTGCAGATAAACAGAACCATGACACGCTCCAGGACCAGGGAGTTTCTAAATCACACCTATGTACAGGGCTTCCAGCCTTCTCTGATTTTATTGCACTGCTTTAGGAAACATTCCCATCTGCTCCCACCCTTAACTGGGTTCCACTCTCATGGGTGGAAGTGGTTCCTTCAAGTTTATTTGGATTGCTGTGGGGAGAGAGTAGAAAACATCTCTGGTAACTCTAGACCTTTTCAGCTGGTAAACTGTCACCAGAAACTTTTTAATACCCTCTACCATAGGGATGTGGTAGAGGCTTCTCCTTGGTTCTCCCCAAAGCGGCTCTGCTCAGAATGTCAGCCCAGCCAGAGAGCAGCAGAAGAAAGTCAGGTCTGCTCTAGTGTGTCTGGTCCACCTTCGATCCCCGAGTGAGAGCTACCTGGGCATGCTCAGAACGTGGCGAGATTCATCACAGAGTGACATGAGCATGGGGACAAACCAGAGGGCTTACGGGTACTTGTGGGTTAAAGTGAGAATCCTAGCAGCCGTGAAGAGCCTGCGCCAATAAAAAGAAAAATAACCCAAAGAACTGGCATAGAAATAGCCAGAAGGCATCTCCAGATGAAGGGCCCCGATTCTGCCTCAGCCTCCTGATTTTCAAGGTGATCATGCAGGAGGGCTGGCATTCGGCCCAGGGAAAGAATTTTGCAAGGGAGAAAGGAGCTCACTGCAAGAGAGAACTAATTTTTTTAGATCTGTGCAATCTGACCTTGGTGTTTTGCATTGAGCCTATAACTCTCTGGGTAGTACGGACACTTGAACAGTGTTGATTTTACCGATCCATGAACAAGGCGTGTTTTTCCATTTGTTTGCGTCCTCTGCCAATTTCTCCCTCAGTGTTTTGTAGTTTTCCTTGTAGACGTCTCTCACCTCTTTGGTTAAGTTTATTTGTAGGTATTTTATTTTCTCTGTAGCTATTGGGAATGATATGAAGTCTCTGATTTGCCCCTCAACTTGACTGTTATTGGGATATAGAAATGCTATTGATTTATTCACAGACATTTTGAATCTGAGACTTCACTGAATTTATTTATCAATTCCAGGGGTCTCTTAGTGAAATTGTTGGGGTTCTCCAGATCCAGGATCAGGTTGTCAGTGAAAAACAATAGGGAGTTGGGTTTAATCCCTTTTATGATTTTGATAAAATTGACCCTAAAGATTTATGCAGTAGTGACAAGGGCATGATTCTGTAACATACAACTTTTGCTCTAATTTCCTTTCTAGGAGAACCAATAAAAAGTCTATAAAATCTTTAGTCCACTCCAAACATACTCATTAATCTAGACTTAGGTGACACCTATATAAGTGACTCACATTTTAAAATATCAAGTAAAGCCATCTAAAAACAATGGCATTTTATTTACCTTGATTGAAAAAACAGTACAAATATTCTTAATAAGAACCGAAATTACCTCCAAATTTCTTTTCTATGTTCTTTTTAAAAACAACTAGGAATTTTTGCATTACTTATATCAATGAAAGCATGCTGTTTTCATTAAATACATGAATTAGGTGCTTTTCCTGAATAGATTCTGCTATTATTTATTTTAGAAAAGAAGGAATATTTAAAACAGAAATAAGGAAAGGGAGAGCTGAATATCGAAAACACAATATTAAGAAAGCACTTGCAAAATTGAGAATCCAGGTATCAGAGAAGGGACAGAGTATGAATTTATCACCCCTTTCTTAATCCAATTCAAATAAAAACATGCATTATCTCTAAATATCAGTAACAATAAGACGTGGAGAAGTTTTGCTATACTTTAAAGATAACTTTGGCTGTCTGCCACACAAACTTACATGAATTATATGTTCCATGGACTTCTTATCATCAGTGCCAACAAAAAAATTAATAAGGACTTTTTTCCCATATTTAGAATTCAATTGTGCAATAGATTTCTCTGCTGTCCAAGAAGGACCTAAAGCAATGACAGGTGAAATATATCTTTAGGAACTTTAGTTCATTAATGATACGATCATGTGACACAGATTTTAAGTGAAAATTAATTTAAAAAAAAGAAAAAGAATGGTCTCACCGTATGTTTGCTCCCAATTATCTGTGGCTACAGGCCACCCATATATATCTGGTAACAGTCTGAGGAGAGGTGTTCCGCCTCTGCTATCAATAGCAGCTTTTGAAAACAAAGAGAATAAATTCAACATGCAGTCTGCACATATTTTGACACCAATCCACGCGTAGTCCTAATGAAATCAAATGAGCTGCACTTACATTCGTTTACACAAGACCTGTACAATGTTTTTGCTTTCTGCACTGCTACGATATCTTCAGTTTTGGGCTCCTGAAGGACATCTGAAATAGGACATTCAACAGAATGTGTCACGTCATCGCTCATTTGATGCTGTAATTCACATTTGCAACTGAGGTGCGGTTTTCTGGAAGTACGGCCATTCCTTTCCCATTCCAAAACCTTAGAAAGCTGGGTGTTAGTTTCATTAGACAACTTAGAGCAAAGTCTTTCTGACTAGATCATCTTTTTTTATTTAATCAAGTGATGTGTACTTCTCTGCCACAGATAGTAGTTACTTTTCTTGAACTTGAGATGAAAAAGAAAACAAAAAGTATAACAGAGGAATTTGGAATGTAATGTGGACAGTCCTTTTGATAGCTGGAAAATAATTATCTTTGTGCCACTGTTCTGTTCATGCTCCAGATGAATTCAATGAATTGGGCTACTTGTTTGGATGTTAAAGAAAAATAGCCAAGAATTGTTTTTCTACAAAGTAACTTCTAGAGTAGGATAGACAGAGGATGGAGTATACAGGGACTCATCCAGACTTTCTCTACTTCCCTGGTTGTGTCTTATAATAATACACCTATGCTGAGAAGGGAAATCTCAGTAAGAAAGTGATTTTAACATAGGACTGGGGGAGAGAGGCTGTAGAACTAATTTTTAGTGGCAATCTATATTTTTTCACCATAAATGGCATAAAACTCCTATCCCTAACAGTGAGTAGAGCTTTAATTCCTATAAACAAAAGCAGGAATGCTAGAGATGTCAACATACCCATTTCAGCGTCTACCCCCCGTAGGTGATTCAATGGTGGTCCACAAATCTAGAGGGATTACCAACTTTAATCCGTTGCAACGTTCCTCATAATGCCTAACAGTTCTATCTATCTTTAAAAAATGGATATATTAAGTGAGAAATCTTTGATGCACAGACACAATCTCCACCAACCTTTCAAAACGACTTCTAGTTCATCTCTTAAAATGTCAAAATTACTGTAACGGGAACTGGTCTCGGGAATGACGTTGTGCTTCAACCAGCCTCCACAGGCATATTTGAAAAAGTCTGTACAAGGCTCAATGGTGGCATCCATGTTCTGAATCAGTCGAGCAGCTGAAAGACAGGGAAAGAACTAGATAAAAACGAAGGGTGTATTTCTTAAGTAGTTTGGAAGAAATAAAAGAGGCCTGTTGATCATGCCGACTGGACAGATGTTCCTTTTTTTTTCTTATATAAATGTCAATTCAGGTGGAATGATGGACATTGTCTTGGCATAGATCTCTTTTCTTTCATTATAGTCCATTATTATTTATTTATTTAAATTTTTGAGACAGAGTTTCAAGCTGTCGCTCTGGGTAGAGTGCCGTGGTGTCACAGCGCACAGGAACCTCAAACTCTCAGGCTTAAGCAATTCTCTTGCCTCAGCCTCCCAAGTAGCTGGGACTACAGGTGCCCACCACAACACCCAGCTATTTTTTGGTTCTAGTTGTCATTGTTGTTTGGCAGGCCTGGGCTGGATTCGAACCTGCCAGCTCCAGGGTATGTGGCTGGCGCCCTAGCCGCTGAGCTACAGGCGCCGAGCCATATAGTCGGTTATTTTTATTTTGGAGCTGTCTGGGTCCCTGCATCTCACAGCTTCTGCCCTTCCTGGCCCTCCAATATCTGAATTTCTTGCTAGTTCCTGTCTCAGAATAACAAAGATTATAGGTTTACTGCGCCTTGGTCGTCCTGGGCCTGGGGTGGACATATCATTCCTCACTCTGACTACTTCAGTAGTGAACTCTGCTCTTCAAGGTACTGTGAGTTTTGAATGTCTCTGAGCCTTCAAGAGATGGAAGCTCATTAATGGATTTTTACCATTTTAGTAACCATTTTTGAAGGCACAGTTATTACTTCTCGGACCTTGCTTACAAAATTTTTGCAATTCAAATTTGTTTTCCAATCTGCATTGGCTTATGTAGAGTCTGTCATTATAGAATTGGCTGTAAGCTTGTTAGTTTTTCTCAGGTCCCCTCTTTCATCTTTGAGGACCATGAGGAAAATGCAAATCAACCAACACTGAGTGTTTACAATGGGCACTGCTACCTGCTGCAATTGATAGAACAGTGTATGAAGTGGGATTTGTCACTACCAAAGTGAAGGCAGCCAATGCCTGCAACGTCCACGCTTGCAACAGAAAACACCCTGCTACCACCCGCCCCGATTTTTGTCGCCTACAGATTGAACTGTTTTGCAATGAAAACAAAAGCGCAATTGAGAATTCATGGGTATCAAAAGAATATAAGCTTTCAAATGAGCTTTTGAAAATACTGCACTTCATGAATTAATTAACGCATCATTAAAGACTTCAAACACTTGCTATGCCGTGTGGATTTTTCCAACATGGTGCAGTAATCTGCTTCCCAGCTGAGCCTCAAGCCCACTGCTAACCTCCTCGTGGGCACGTGTGCTTCTCTCCAGCTCTTTGCTCCTCCACCTGGGAGCTGCCTCCAGCCCATTCCTCTCTCTGACTTTGACGCTTTGGGATACAGCACAACTATTCTTCCAGCCTCCTGGGTTTGACGATGCGGGTGGGACCCTGTCTTTCCCCCTTTCCTTGGGGTTTGGTGCATCCCTCTGCCTGTGTTCTACACATCTCATTTCATGGTCACTGTCAACCGAGTTTACATTTTCATCCCCTTTTGATTGGACGCCACCTGGGGATACTTTGCACATCAATCACAGATTCAATTTTCCAAAACCCTTTTGTAGTGGTCATGGCCTTGGTCAAAAATGTCTCTGGTTTGACGTTTCCAGCTTAAACTGCAAACTCTTTAACTTGGCCTCTAAGCCTTTACAGGACACTCAGCTCCATCTTCAATTTTTTTTTTTTATTTTAAGTGCAAAGTCTGTTCCAACCTGATGGGCCTGCTCAGTGTGCCACATCCTAGGTAGGAAAACATCCTTGTGTTTACCTAGTCTTGTCCCATTGCTTCTGTCCTCCTCACCCCACAGCTATAACTCCTGTCCTCCTGCGCCTGACTCCCAGACCATCTCTCTACCCTGATGCTTCCACGATTCCAAACTTCAAGGAATATTTCTTTCTCTAAACTCCTGAGAGCTCATTGCCTCACTTGATCTTTAATGCTTCAAGGAAGCCACTTTGGGTCCCCCC